GGGGATGGGTTAGCCTGGGGATGGGCATTAAAGAGGGCACGTACTGAATGGAGCACTGGGTGTTATACGCAAACAGTGAATCATGGAACACTACATCAAAAACTAAGATGTAATGTATGGTGATTAACATAACATAATAAAGTAAATAAAATAAAATAAAATGAGTTCATTTGTTCACATCTAGCTGCGAGGAAGATCGGAAAATGTGTATTTTGGTGGGCAGCAATATGTCTAGCTGAAATCCAGCATTATATTACCATAGAGGAGATAAAATGAATATCGGGAAGAAATTAGCAGTCCCTGATACAGTACTGGAGGGATGAAGAAGCATGGAGGGGATGAGGCTTTGAGCAAAGCTGTCAACCATTGCTCAAGGGGAGGAAGCAGGAACAACTGGACTTGTACAGGCAACAACAATCACAAAGACAAAGCCATGCTCATGCATCCAATTGTGTACTTCCTGCGTTGCATAAAGATCTGTGCGTGTATAACCATGTGCATATGCACACACATACGCTTATGCACACGCACTGCACAATGGCTCATAAATATTGTACTACAGTTCTAAATAGTTGGGCTACGGAGATTAATAATTATGAAGCAGCCCTGTCAATTCTAAAACTCAGATGATTCAGCTTTCTCTTTAATGATAATAAAACCAGAAACATCCTTATAAATATTTTTAAACACAACTCCTGTGCTATGCTCCTTACAAAATTTTCAAGCCCTGGGGAACTCTGAATATTCTATGATGCCAAAGGATTTTTGGAGATTTGGGAACTTTTAAGAGCTAGGATTTAAATGTTTGAGGGGAAAGTCAAACTCAGTATAGCCATTAAATTACTGTTTTAGATACTTGTATATCTGTCAGTCAGAGACTGGTTTTCATATGCCCGGGAGGACAGGTCATTAAAATAAAGATTCTGGAGGGTTTCGACATCAGCAAAGAATGAACTCATGAAATCTATGACACTGTTAGATTTCCATCTGTTGCAAGAGCCACTGACGATACATGTGGGGTTATCAAGGCACTATTTCAAAACGATGTGAGTTGTAGGGACTGTTAATCATCTGCAGACTCACTATGCAAGGAGGACACAGTCCAGGTGCTGTAGAACAGATGCAGTCCCCAATTTACCAGGATCATGTCACAGTTCATTTCCATTATGGCAGTCTGGTGTTCAAAATCTGCTTGAAACTAGACAAACATATGCTGGATGGCTGCTAGGTAAGCATGTTTCTCAGGGTAATATATTACACCTAGCAGGTTGCTGGATAAATTAATGTATTTCTGATCTGCAAGAATCATTTGAAATTGTCTCTGGACATCTATGTCAAAACCTTAAAGTGCTAGAGGATAGACTAGGTGGAAACTCACAGGCTTGCCAGAACCATGAGAGAGCATTCCACAGTTGATGCTAATATATTGTAATGTATTTGCTAATGAATTACAAATAGTGTCACACACTCTGTGCACGTTGTCATATTAATTCAAGACTTCAGAATTTCAAAATGCATTTTCAGTATGGTTCAAGTGTATAAATATTAAGGAGGCATTAACCTTTATCAAAATGATTTTTCCTATGTTAAAAAAGATCAAAATTTAACATAACAGGGCACAAAATTTGACTTTGCTATGAAGTGGTTGATGAGAAGAACAGGAGCTGCCCCAAAATTATTCATGTAAAAACTGTGAAACCTTTCATTTACACTTCTGTAGGAATGGCAGGAGTGGTGGTAGGAGCTGGGGGAGGAGGAATGTGGCAAGTAGGGAGAAAAGAGTAAATCGAAGGATGTCAGTTCTTTAATTAACATGCTGCTTGTCATCTTTTAGCACAGAGAAAAACAAAACCCTGCAGGCACCAAATAAAATGAGCCTTCTAGAGGTTTCTCATCCCAGACAACCTACAGAGTCTGTGTCAATTTGGAGTCACTGATGCAAACATTTTGTTCAAATACTTCATTTGTTTCCTAGCTGCATGGCATCAACAAGAATGTTTTCAAGGTCAAATGAATATTTTGATAAGTCAGACTGTGGGATTCCATGAACTGGCCTCTTTGAGGCTGATCAGGGACCTTGGTGAAGCAAATTGGAGCTTAAACTCAAGTCCTCAAACCAGTGATATCTTACGCAGCTATCAATCCCCTTAAAAAAAAAAAAAAAAAAGCACTTTCTCTCTTGCAGGATTTGCAACTGGAGTCAATCAGTTCCAGCCTCAGGGAAGCCCAGACCAGAAGAAAGTTAAACAGTAAAACGCTTTGTTTTTGTCTTACCTTATCAGAATCTTCAATTTGGAAGTGAAGGTCTGGGATAGCTTTATGACCACTGCATCATTCCCCATACCATGAGGGCAGCAGTCATGTTGAACTTGTTGACTGCAATGTCCCCATTTTCTGGTCCAGTGCCTGGCACATAGCACATTCTCAATAAATATTTGTTGAGCAAAAACTAGATATCAAGAGTCACACAATTAAAACTACCTCTTCAAATGAACATAGAAAACATCCCAAGGACTATTAAGCAGTAATCAAAATCTTATGTTTTATTGTGACCTATGTCCCAGAAACTTCTTAAGGGACTTGTGGATTTCTAAAATGCTAAGCTCTCCTTTTTTAAAGCATCTCTACTTGTGTCTCTGGACCTATATGCAAACAAATCATTGAGGTTTTCAGCAACTCTGGACTGTAGAAAATGAGTCCAAATTGTAGGAGCTTCCAGTTTTAAAACAAAGATGTACTCTGATGGAATAATGTGAATTGTGGGACATTTTAAGTTGTGATTACATAAACAATTCTAATGGTGCATCACCTCATGGAAGAATACATTTTACCCAACATTTTCATCTCCTCCATTTGGGAGGGAAGTCCCTTCATGAAACTAACTTACACAGCAGCCGTTAGGGGGCACCATTAACATGATCATAGCACATAGGGGTGGTGGGGTGGGCTCTGTTTTCCATCCTACTGGGCAACACGTGGTTTGGGCATCTTGGGTTGAATGCTGAATGGAGTTCCCATGGACTTATTTGTGAAAGAAATGGGAGAGTGAGCGATGGCCTCACTTCTAAGTAAAAGCACAGTGGGACACCCAGGCTGACTCTATTCTCCCCATTCCTAAGTACTGCCATCACCAAATCAAATCGGTTTCATTCGTTCCTAGTTTATAATTCCAAAGGGTATGTCAAGTCATTTGCTGGAGCGCCTCCTAAATTGTAAATGTTTAATACTTAATTCAATTTTTAAATGGTTGCTTTGGCACTGACTGCTAGTTATTGCCCAAAATGTTATATAAATGAGCCAAAGATGGTCTGTGGGTATTGATCTGTAGGTTGTTTATTACTTCCCTGCAGGTTGAGATCTTTTAGTTCAAAAGCCTACTGGCACCACATTCAAAAATTTTACACATCCAATTATTTAAAAAATAGTCCAAACAAGCAGATTTTTTAACCATTTAGAGCCTCACTGCTTTGCATACCTGGTGAAACCTGACCCCACATCTGCTGGCCTTTGGTAAGGTAGAACCTTCTGGCTGGAAGCTGCTATGGCCCTTCAGAGGTCTCTCATCCGGAGACATATCACCTAGTCACATAAACCCCCTCCCCTGGGAGTTCCCTTGCCCACCTCCCCTCCTGGATGGTCGCCTCCACACTGGAACCTCTGGACATTCTCAGGCAGTGAGGGACCTTGCTTCTCATGCAACCCTGTCCAAGTGCTATCCGTATAAGGACACAGCGAGAAGACAACTTCTTACCAGAAGGTAAGAAGCCTCTTACCAGATACCAAATATGCCCGTGCCTTTATCTTGGAACTCATAGACTTCAGACTTCTTAGACTTCAGTACTGTGAGAAATAATTGTTTGTGGTTTAAGCCACCCACAGATGGCATTTTTGTTATAGCAGCCTGAACAGACTAAGACAACTGCCATCAAAGAAAAAAGATCACAACCATGGCTCAGAGAAGTGGGCGCATGAGGGATATCCGGGGAATAGCAAGCAGTCCAGTTGACTGAAATCATACAATACACGCAGAGAAAGATTGAGAGAAAAGTTTGAAAAGTGTGTTCAGGTCATATGTATAAGGCCCTTGAACACCAGGGCCCTGAATGCTATTGATTTTGGTCGACAGTGGGGGGGGGCGGTCCCTGAAGGCTCTTGAGTGAGACAAGGATGCTATGGGAGCTGTGTGCCGAGAAGATTTATCTGGAAAAAGCGTGAAGCCTGGACTGAAGAAGGGAAAGACAGGAGATTAAAAAGACACCACTTCAGGGGCTTTGCAGTAATCCAGCAAGATAATGAAAGTCTGAAGTAAAGTGGTGGCAGGGGAAGATGCCAAAGACATTCAGAGGTTGTTGATCATTTCTCCAACCATAGCACAGATGATGCCGTCCTAAGTATCTCATTCCTGTCTATTTTTACCATCGATGCTATAGGTACCTAGGAGCAAAGTGGCATTGCTTATAGCCTGATCATATTTCTTCACATTGAACGCATCAAAATACTCACAACGAGATCCCGAGCTTCCCAGAAATACACAGAGTGCACAGATAATTTACCAAACTGAGAGAATTAAGCATTCCAATAGAATATAAACAAAATGGTTAACTAAAGGGCCTTGTTGGCTGGAAATAGCAACTTCACCTAAAGACATTTATTTAATTAAAAATGAAGTTCATAAGTTCATATGTTGATTTGGTATCTTTCTATAAAATACGTTTGCATTTTTTGGGGGGGAAATACCTATTAGCCTCATAAGGCAATACAACTTAGGTTAAAAATTTCACTGGAAAGGAAATAATCAAGCATAGTGGACTTTTTTCAAAGTAGCGAAGCAATTGTCTTGAATGGATGTTAATGGCCCAGGTGCCGTTAACAGTGCCCAGGCAACTGGAACATTAAAACTGCAGTCACCAAAGAGAACGGCTTCAAAAGTTGCTTTAAAAAGCTTTGTCTCTAGTCTCAGTAATGTCTGCCCCTCTGGCATTCCTTGACCTTTTCCCTTCCCCCAAATATACAGGAGCCCGTTGGATCCTGGAAAATGACTTCCAGCCCTGGTTTTCCCGAAGAAACCAGCGATGATGCCATATGCCCATTAATGTTCTCCATCACCCCATATTTCCATTTGTTTCCATTAGCAAATGTTTTCCACAACCAAATGTTTTCTGCTACCAAATATTTCTACAGTGAATGGTTCGCACCTTATAACCTGACACAGGGAATGTATAGATCACTACCTTTTGCTTGCTAATAACAGAAACTCAGACTCAAATTAACTAAAATAATAAGGACCTTTATTTTCCCTTACAACAAGAAGTTTAAAGGGACAGCAATCCAAGCCACGCCACCAGGAGGGTCCCGGGTCTCAGCTTTGCCTCCTCTGTGGCTCGGTATGGTTCTTGGGATGTTTTTCTCATGACCACAAGAACCTGAACCAGTAACAGGCCAGGAGAATATTTTTCTAATCAGGTTAGGGCTGGTTGGAATCCACATGAGGAGCTAAAGATGGGATCGATAGTCCAAAAAGAGCAATGTTTTCAGAGGAAGGCAGAAGTGAGAGGTGGGGAGACATCAACACTGGTGTAAAAAGATGTTAAAATGCTTGCATCCCCTGAGGCAACAACTTGATCACTGAGTTGTGAAACAGATAACTCTGCAGAAAGTTCAAAGTAGGTGGCAGAGATGTCCCGGAACTGATTAGGTGAGTCACTCCTACCCCTGGCTTAAAATGGTCCAGGGTAGAGCCTGAGAGAGGGTTTGGTGTGAAGGGTTTGAAAGAAAGATGCTGGAGTGCTTTGCATCTCAAGCCCCCATCCTAAGAGGGCAGGGTGTCTACTCTTAGCACAAGTTGAGTGAGAGGGGCTGTGAGGCAATCCCTTTGGGAGCTCGCTGTTCTCCCTGTAGTTACAGAACCAGCATGGGTATGGTTTGGCTCCTATCCTGGAACACTAGAGGCTGGAGCTGGGCTCGCACGCTGTTTCAGGGGCAGAGGAGGGAGGGCGGCTGCTTTGCTTTCTATGTGCAGTTTCTGGAAGAGGAATGTGTGAATGTTTCCTCTGGCAGGGGTGTGAACTCGAGAGTCAGTGGGAGAACCGTTCTAGATCTTTTCTGTTAGCAACACTGAAGGGACAATGAGACCTCAACAGAAATGAAGCTGAGTGGATCACCCATTCCCTAGAGCTTGGAGAGCAAGAAAGTGCAGGAATCGCAGGTATTTGCCCAGATTAGAAAAACCACAGGTGATAGACTACCATGATAGCGAGGTCTCTAAAGAACCCTCGAAAGTGAGCCAAGTTGAAACACCTGCCAGACCTAGAAAGTGTGAGGCCATCTTACAACAGTACCTATACGAACCTTCCTTTGCCCTTTTCTTTCCAACCTCTCTGCTCTCTACTCCCATAGGGACCATAAACCGGAAAGCAAGCTGGATAAAGAACAACAGGGAAAGAAAGAAGGGTGAGACCCTCAGACATGCTGCAAATGGCCAGGCTCTCGCAGGCCCTCCCTAGTTTCAGTGTGGGAAGGGGGAAGCTGGTAGGGAGCAATTACAAAACCAAGCTTAGAGCCAAAGGGATATAGTGGGCCATGCCTTTCAAGAACCAGGCCGCTAATAACCAGACTCTGCAATCTCTGCTACAACTGCCTCAAAAAACCAAACCAAACACAAGAAACAAGTGCTTTGACTCTTGTGTTTGCAAAAAGCAGTAGCAGAATTGTGGGCCCTTGTGCACCGTGTTCACGGCCTCCCAAACCTGCCATGGGGCTACCTGCCTGACAGATTCTAGATCGAGTCTGGGTGTATAGTCATAGCTTCCTAGGCTCCAGCACGGAGCAGGTGCAGTCCTTTGAGGGGTTGGCATGGAATCGGGCAATGCCATGTCCACCACAGGCCACCACCACACACCCGGCAGTTTATATCTTGAGTAGATTCATTCTCTCAATGTGTTTACTCAAGAGGTAGGATTAATAAGAAATTGATTCATGGTCTCACCATACACTTGAAATCTAACTACTCTGTTATCCAGGAGTGAGACCTCACTGTCTCCTGTTCAGAGACCACCTTTTCCCCAGGCTATCCCCCTTGCCTTGAGCAATGAAGCTTCTCCCCAGAGGTCTCTGGACCAGAGCCTCTTCCTATCTTACCCAAACTTTGGGGGTCCCCCTCAAGTGCTACCTTCCCTAGGAGACTTCCCTTAGCTTTCTGCTGAGTTCCCCCCCTTTCTGCGATTTCTAGCACTTCCTGTCCCGAACACCATTTTTATGTGGAATTTTATAAGCTTTGGATTCATTTGCTAATTTCTTCCTTCCTTCAGTCAACAAATGTTTCAAGAGCCCATCCAAGGAGCTTTGCTGGGTACAAGGTGGTAAATAAGACAGTTGCCCCTGTCTTCTTAGTGCTTACAGACTAGGGT